CAATTTTTGCTAAAATCACTTTTGGCAAAAAAAATGATTTAGGTAACGATAAGTAACATAATTTTAAAATCTCCTGTTGATATTTTTAATAAATCAAATATGTTGGTCCATCCTAAAAAGCTTGCTGTTTTCTCTTTTAAAAACTCCTTTGTACAGTTAAAACCAGAAGTTAGCCGAGTGTCTGAGAACGGGAGGCAGCATCGGCTTCTGGTTGAGAGCTCGGTTCCGGTTCCATGTCCGGACGGTTCCTTCTCTTCTGCAGAGAAGTGTGTTTTATCTCTGCAGCTCAGCACAAGCAGTGAAGGTAAGGACCAAAAAACTAACGGCTATAGGTCAGGGTTTAACTCATTTTCGATTTGGGCCAAGTCAAGATCATGAATGCTCTTAAAGGGCCGGTTGTGCCAGAATGTATTGATAAAACCTGATCACAAACTGTTAAAATGTAAATGAATCCTTAAAATTAAATATTGAACATCTTTTCAGTCCCTCCAGGATTTTGTGATTTTTTGCAATAAAAATCAAAGTGTTTGTGGTACTAATCTGGAAATATTTGTGCTTATTTATGAAGGTAAATGTGACTCTTTTTATTACTCGCCGTATAGATCATGGACTTTAATCTGACATTAATTAAGGCTGAGGCAGCTGTTTAGTACAAGTAAGAAAGTTTTTTAAAAGTTTGGGAAACATCTGCAACAAACTCCCAATTATTAGTGCAAAAAAGTGGAGGGTTGGTTGTATGAATTTATGAAGGCTCAGTGGATTTGTTTTATTTTTCAAAATCAATTTTGGGACATTTTATACCGATTCTGAATCGTAATAAATTAGAACAGCAAATTGTATGTGAATGGATTTATGTATTTTTGGCGCACGCCATTTCCTGACTTACAAAGACGAACCCTCATCTTGTATTTGATCAATATGTGCTCCTCTCTTTTCCATTTTGAAGAGTGGATAAGAGAAAATGAGCTCTGCTTCATATTATGTTTAACATGAAGCAAGGAAATGTTTGTGGACAGTTTGATCAACTTAAGTGAAGTGAATTTGAAAAAGGCTTCATTTCTTAGCATGGGATTTTTTTAAACTCACTAAATAAATTAACTTAAATTAGCTGAAAGTTGCTATCACGCTACTGCAGAAAAAGAACCATTCACTGTATTTTAGAGCCTTTTGTGCCTCCATACCAGAGGTGCAAATGCATTTTAACTCTTTAACATTTTGTTAGTTGAAGAAATAAAACATTTTTGCACATTTTCAGTTTATAAAAATCTGATTTCTTCCCATGTTCGCCCTAACACAATTCCGGTTGCAGAATTAGCCTGTTTCTTAAACAGTTTTAAGCCTTTTAAATCTTTTCAAACCAACATTGCATCCTTTTTCCACAGATGAGGATTTGCTGGGTGCAGATTTGTCTCTGTCATCTTGTAAAGTGGATTTATCTCAGGGTCGCTGCAGTGGCCAGGTCTGTAGCCGGGTTCTGGTCCACTTCAGTCCCAACACGGACTTTATCAAAGACGGTGAACGGATCAGTCAGATCTCTGTGAAACCTGTCGTCACGCAGAACTTTCTCTGGAACGGATACTCGCCAGAATCTGTTCAGGTGAACACATCGAGCTTTGAATCCATTTAGTTTGCATTTCTAATCTTAAATCCAGTTTATTATTACTTGTTTATTACTATCTTATTATCTTTTCTTAATTGCTATTCTTATGTGCTTATTTAATTGAGTCAAATTTCTGTTGCAGTGTTTATAAATTTACTTGCTTGTTTAACAAGTTTTATCAGACCTAATTTGAATTATATCTGAAATTCAAGAACTAGTTCAAATTAGAAGAGTGACTAAAAGAAAAACATCTAGCCATTTTCTTAAATATAAGTTATTGTTTTTTTTAGTATTTAGCCTGTTATCTAGCAACCCAATTCACGGTGCGATAAACCGTAAAAACAAAGGTTAAATTAAATAATTAAACAAATAACCTTTAAATGAAGGAATAAAAATGACTCTATATTTCCAGATAACCATTGCTGATGTTCCCCCAGCTTATTGCTACTCCTTCACAGATCCCCACATGATCACTTTTGATGGCAGGTACTTAATTTTAACCATCTATTGTAATAATTACAATGATTTCATAGTATTGTTGTTTGCATTGTTAGTACAGTTTGCTGAAAACAAATCTTGTTGTTTTCCCAGATACTATGAGAATTATCAAATAGGCACCTTTGTTCTTTACAAGAGTGACGTTCGGCCCTTTGAGGTCCATGTCCGCCAGTGGGAATGTGGCAGCCTGGTGCACGCCGCCTCCTGCGTGTGTGGATTTGTGGCGTGGGACGGCGGCGACGTTGTCGCCTTCGACATGTGTGAGGGCGAGATGGGCGAGACGAAGCCCCGTCTATCTGTGAAGAGCAGAAACGCTAAACGAGTAAAGAGCGGCTTTCGGATCAGTGAGTCCTACCAAGGACGCAAAGTCACTGTGAGTCAACAGCAGCCGCATTTCATCATGAATAATACTGGAAATCTACTTTTGTATAATTTCTAACATGTTTTAAAGGGGCTCTATTGTGCAATATTCACAGATTTGGAACAAACTTCCAGAAAACTGTAAAACAGCTGAAACACTGAGTGCCTTTAAATCTAGACTTAAAACCCACCTGTTTAGAGTTGCTTATGGCTAAATTGCGGGTTTTGATGTCTTTGATGTTTTTAATGTTTTTATCTTTAGTTTTCATCTAGTTATTAACTTCTTTTTATTTCTCTTCCACACTGCCTATGTAAAGCCCTCCTGGAAAACGTCCTAGTTCAACGAATCTATATCTAGGGGTGTAAGAATCCTTGTTAAATGACATTTAACTAAAGTCCTACGGGGTTTAGAGTCCCAGTTGACGGCATTTCAACTAAAAACCTAGAGGTTGGAGTCCTTGTCAAACGGTGTTTTTGACTAAAGTCCCAGAGGGTTAGAGCCCCAGTTAAACGACATTTAACTGAAGTCCTAAAAGAGGTGCAGGTTTTAATGTTTTTATCTCTTAATCTTTTTCAAAATGTCTTTCTCTTTCTCACTGTTTATTCAATGTCACATGCTGTGTTTATTTTAATTATGTAAAGCACTTTGAAATGCCTTGCTGCTGAAATGTGCTATACAAATAAAATTTGATTGATTGATCGTCTGAAACTCTTTGCAGATCATGTTTTCCTCTGGAGCATTTGTTCGTGCAGATGTCTCTGACTGGGGAATGAGTCTGACTCTGAGGGCTCCCAGTTCAGACCAGAATCACACATTGGGTCTGTGTGGGACGTATGATGGACGGCCGGACAATGATTTCCACTCAGCAGGGGGCGCTGTGCTGGAGCAGCTGCAGGATTTCATATCTGAGTGGAGGTCGGTGGGTTTCAGCTGTGTTTTAAGAATCATAATTTCTGTTAACTGATCCACAGGTTAAGCTAAATACGCTCAGGAGCTCATTAGTTTTCATTAGGTGAGGAAGTTCTCCTTTGTTCTGTATGTGTGAGATTTTAAATGGATATTTCAGCTTTTCTGAAGGTAAATATCACTGAAGAACCATCCACCACCCTGCGCCACCTTTAAATCACTAGTAGTCATCTAAGCACTTTGGATATCTGGTAAAAACCAGAAGAAGAAGCACTAGAATCAAATATGGCCGCCTGCTGCAGCTAGCCAATGAAATGATGCTGACATTTGCGACAGATTCTGTTTCCATAACATAGAGGACTATTTTAAAATTATTTTAAAGATTTTGGACTGAAAATGTTCCAAAATTCAGCTTGGAAATATTAAAAAGTGCATATTTGGTGCAGTATGTTCTACTTTCCTGTTATACATGACAAGTAACAAAAATCAAGCAATTTAAATTCTTCAAATAATTAAAATGTTAATTAATGTCCAATCTGTCTGCTTGTTTTTTTCTCATCTTTTTTTTCTATGTGCAAATTCTGGAAAAGTTTTAGTTAAGGAAAAATAATCTAAAAACTTCTGGAGGGACAGGTTGTAAGTCTGCTGATGAAACATGTTTTGTTTTACAATTTAATTCAATTTGATTCAGTTCAAATGTATTTAATCAGGGGCAGCACATTAATGTTATATTTGAAAATCATAGATGTAAAAGTAGGTTTTGTGGTCAAACACTGATTTGCAAACTCAATTCTTGCAAAACTAAAATTAGTTGCTGAATTTCTGCAACTATAAACAAGAAAAACATGAAAATGCATATTAGAGAAAGCTAATTCTCCACAATATAGTAGGTTAGAGTACATCTTCTGTTTTTTCTATAGCTTGAGATGTGAAGCTTCTTGTCTTGAAGGTGGAATATTTTCCTGAAAAATCCTTTCTGTCCCCGTAGTTTCTGGATTAAACTCTTTGACTTCTTCTGTGTTTCTTTCAGACTCCCTGCAGGCAGCAGCTTGTTTGACTCCATGCCAGCTGTTGTGAACACACCAAACATCCACACGTACTGCAACTGCCAAGCAGATCACCTGAAACCATCTCTCAGATCTGGATCCAGCTGCTCCAATCACAGACTTGTCAATTTTCTGACTTTTATCCCCGCTCTGGATGTCACAGCTAAATACATCAGTTCAGTGGAGCTACAGAAAGAAAATAAAAAAACACAGCTCACTTCTGGTCGCAGTGAAAGTTCCCCACATCCGGAGAGCTTCTCATACTTTTTCCCAGAGGATCATGAGTTCTCGGTTCAGCCAGACGGACTCCCAAGATGGCCGACTCCTGCTGGTCTAACTCAGCAGCAGGCTCAGGCTCAGTGTGAGCGTGCAGTGGGAAACTCGAGTGTCGCCGTCGGCTGCCGGCTCCTGTTAGTGGGTTCAACAGTCAGCCGAGCGGTGGCCATGTGTGTCGCCGACCTGCAGCTGAAAGACGAGCCGTCGTGGCTGAACGCCACCTTGCCGCTGCTGGAGAACGAGTGCGAGCGAAAGCTGGTGGAGGAGTGGAGGAGGTGGGAGGAGCACCGGGATGCGGCGTCCACCCTGAGGTGTCCGGACCTGTGCAACGGGAACGGCCAATGCTCTGAGTTGGGCTGCGTCTGCTTCCCTGGGTTCGGTTCACATGACTGCAGCGAGCTGACGGGTAAAACACACAACAGACACAAAACCCGAGAGATTATGCCAAAAAACACAGATTTTAAAGGTGAACTATTAGGCTTCGTTGAACCCCTTAGGAGAGGTCTATGATTTTTGCACAAAATCATTCCTGGATAATGAGATTTTAGCCTGGGATCCTTTCAGAATGAGCTGTTTTAGCACCTCTGAGGCTTACTTGAAAAGGGCTGCAAACAGATGCACAATTATACAACCGTACATCTTTGCAATTTGCAACAAAACACTTGTATTTTCTGGCAGTCATTGTACTAGCGGTAAAACAAGCTGACCAAACTTGCTGGATCTCCGGTTGGGTTACTAGGTGGCAGACTGCACTGAAAAACACAAAATCTTACCGGCTAATTTTCCAGTATGGCTCTGGCAATTAATCAGTAAAAACCTATATGGCGATTGACACATTATCAATATTAATTAGTTAGAAATATTCAGTAATTTTAGTGAACTTCTATCCAGAACCGCACAGCATTCTGGGAAATGTAGGCAGAGGAAAGACTCACGACCAGCTAGGCAAGGTTGGTGGAAGCAACTCACTCACTCTTTGGTTACCTAGCAACTCACTCACTCTTTGGTTACCTAGCAACAATCTACTGAGTAACAGTAGCAGAATGTTTCGCCATAGCACCTCAGCTGCTTAAAAAGAAAATGACCTTGAGAGAAAATTGATAAAACAGGAAAGGTCACACCACCAGCTTGGCAGTATTTTCAGATATTTTAAACAAAAGATTTATCAATAATTATTGATATCATGATACATTTTTCTGCCCAATCGTCCAGCCCTATTTTAACTTGTTGCCAATAAATAGCTGGGTAGCTTTTTTTAAATATTGGACTTTTTTTAGAAGCAGTTCAGATCCAAATGGAAGGACAAGAACATGAATGGTGTCAATTTTGAATAATAGATCCCCCTTAACATCTATGAAACCAAAAATGCTTTTATGAATGTAAATAGCTGAGGATGCAGTAACAGTTAAAGCAGTGGCTACTCTGCTCTTAGCCAGTTTTCAGGCCTTAGCTGACCTTATGCTAATTTTGTAAAGACCAGATTCCAGAAATCACCAAGTTGAGGAAGGAAGGTCTGTGCAACATCCGTCAGGAAGACTGCTCCACCATCCAGGTCTCTGGTCATGGTTTCAAGGACTCCAGCCAGCTCAAGTGTGAGTTTGTTAAAGAAAAGGTACTTCATCTTGTCTGTCCTCATTTTGCATTTAATACATTAAACTATTAAACTCTGGCTTTTATTGTCCTTTTTTCTGTCCCTTATTTTCCTGCTTCTCTGTTTTAATCAAGATTGAAGACGGGGAGTCGGTCACGGTTTCTCCTTGGTTTGTTCAGGCTACTTTTCTGAATGAAACAGGTCTTGAGTGCCGGCTCCCCCTGGAGGACAACCAGGGTCCTGCAGACACGGTGACAAACCGAGCCGTTACGCACTGGCAGATCAAAGTTAGTCACAACTGAAGCACTCTGTTCAAAAATAAATTGGTAACTCTTCAGTAAAATCATCTGTTTATGTGTTTTACCATTAAGAAATCAATACCCGCCCTGTTACTGCAGCTGGGTGTCGTAAATACAGCTCTGACATGGACACTACAACTTTTCCATGACTCTGTTTGTGTTTGGGGTTTTGATGCGCCGCAGTAATCAAACTTCTGCTGATGGCAGGTTTCAAACGACGGCTACAGCTACAGCAACGCCAAGATCCTGACTCTGTATGACGGAGGCTGTCAGATCTGCAGCCTCGACACAGAAATCATGTGCACCCTCAGGGTGAGACATCTTTCTTCCTAATCCTTTAACCGTGACGCAGCTGCAGCTTTAATCTCCTCGGGTCTGTTTCGGTCGGTGATGGAGGGTTTTTAAGGATGTAGCGTAACGGAGCTGGAGCAGAAAGTTGGAGACAATCAAATATTATTTTCGCCGGTTTGTTTTGTGCTTAAGATTAAACAGAGAAACTAAACTTGAAGGTGCATTAACACCAGTATGGTCCAGTTTAATCAAACTTTAGTTAATTTGGCAGGAAAGTCAGGATTTTACTGGACGATAAATTGACGCAGAAGTTATCATGATAAACGATATTGTTGTTTTGATACCATTTTCAAGGAATATAATGGTATTGTCATAACAATGCAAATACCAATAAACATTAAATTCTAATTAATATTTGACACTGGAACTGGAAGACATTTTAAATATATTAAAAAAAATAAAGAAAACAACAGAAACAACAAATAAAATTAATCATTAAGTCTCTCTTAACAAAACTGTCCTTCAAAGAACAGCTAATTGAGACCAGACTTTTGTAATCCAAGTTTTGGTAGAAAAAGAAAAGAGATCATGCAAATAATTGGGGCAATTTTAGTTTACAATGCGATTAATTGGGTTATTGCGACAAGCCTACTGATCCATTACTCAGTGTAAATGAGGCATGTTGTCCTGGCACCAACCAGACATACTAAAAATGCAATATACTTAAATGTTTCTGTGGTATCCTCAACAGATTATGTATTCATAATGATAATTTAAATGATTTTTCACCAGGAGAAGACCTGCATCATTGGGGATTTGTGCTACAATGAAGGAGAGTCCAATCCCAGCAATCCTTGCTTCACTTGCCGTCCGGACCTTTCCAAACACACATGGTCCAAAGTTGAGAGTATGTGCAAGAAATGACTTACACCTGTTTGAATCGGTGTAATTAGACTCTAAGAGCGGAGAATAGTTGCATAACAATGCATGAAAGCAGAGGAAGTTCTTAGAAAGACGAGGCCTTCAATAATGTTTATAAGATTTTGTATCTTGTAAATTTGCAGATGGTTTTACAATTTGAGTGTTTTTGTTTTAGGTTAAATATGCTTGGGAGATTAAAGATTAATCATGTACAAAAAAATGTGCAAAGATAATATTCTACCTGTGTTTCAAAGAATATAAGTTATTTCTTGTTCTTTTTGTCATTCTTTATCCTGGTGCAAACTGTAAGCAAAGTAAAAACAAAATTGCAATGATTAGTTTGTATAATATTCAAATAAACACAAACTTAAAACACAGGTTTAGACATTTAATGTAAACCATATAAGCATATTATCACAAATTACGCTTGATTTAACTAATAAGGCATGTAGTTTACTGCATGAACATTTTGTAGAATAATAAAACATTAGCATTAAACCCCACTGTCCAATAAAAAATAGCGAACATTGAACTAATTAGCTGCCAATGTACAAAATAACCCACGGAACCGCTAACATTTCCATTAGCTTAAAGCTAATTTTCCAAAACCGATATTTAGAACAAAACAGACATATTTCCCTGAAGCTTACAACATTCAACATCAACTCACCACGTTGAGCAATACTCAAAAACGCAAATAAGAAGCTCACTAATTGCATCTAAACGCGATTTAAAACGCTTCCGGTTCGCCGTCAAGTAACTTCCGGTTTTACTTCAAGTCATTTGAACTAATATAAACACACTGCAGAGCCCCCTAGTGGAATGGGAGGGGTGAACCCAACAAAAACGGAAAAAAAGCAGAGGAACTTTTTTAAAAAGCTGGATTTTGACAAAGCAGAAAACCACATGTAAAACACAGTGTGTATGAAAACCCAAAGTGCTACCTTATTTTCCTCTCAGAGCAATTGGACCGTGTCTCTAATCGCACCTGAGCACCTCCCAGCTCAGCCATGTCCTCCACCAGACGGCTGATGCTCACCGGAGGCAGTTTGGATGATTTGTCAGCAGCTCAGAGCTGATTGAAGTCACATCTGTCCTTCGGCGCTGATGTTAAGGCTGCGGATCTCATTGTTACACTTTTTGGCTAACTTTTACCTCTGAAGCTCAAACTAGGTCAACCAGGGCTTAGAAACATGACAAAATCTCACAGACGTTACTGAATAATCTGCTGATGGCAGAGTTTATGGAGGACATTTCCACCACTCTGATGAAAAAAATGTATCTCACTCTTAGGACTTAGATCTCATATATGAGATATCATCTCATACTTTTAACTTAACTGCCTCATAATTATGATTTGGCTATCAGAAGTATGAGATAGCTAAGTCATAATTACGATATCAAATTTTTTAGCTATCATAAATTTAACTAAATCATTAGCTGAATTGATCTAGCTAATTATGGTTATGACAGCTAAATCATAATCATAGCTATGATTTAGCTATCTCATAAATATAATTATGACATACAAGTTTTTTTTTTCCATCAAAGTAGTGGAAATACGCTTCCTTACACCGAGTTCTGTATGAATAAACATATTTTCAAAACATGCCGAAAATTTCTAAACCAAATTCCTTTAAAATTCACCTTCCATATTTGAGTTGTTTCTTGTTTTTCATCCAGAAAACGAGCCTCCGTTGTTCCAGCCACCACAGATGCCTCTCCGCTCCTTCCAGGAGGAAAGTTTCATCTACCAGCTACAGGCTCAGGACCCTGAAGGCTCCATGGTTCTTTTCAGCCTGGTGTCGGGTCCAAAAGGGGCTTCGCTCTCTTCAGCTGGACTCCTGGTGTGGAAGGCGACCTCTAAACCCACAGACACCCACACGTTCCAGTTTACTGTCACTGATGCCTGCAGCGCGGAGATGCACGCCTCGGTCCAGGTGAGATTGTCCTGCAGGCAAATCGACAAACTATTTTATTATTTACCCAGTTGTAAATAAATAAATAAATAAATAAATAAATAAATATGTTTCACCTCATGAAGAAAATCTGGAACATAATAAATAATAATCCAGTATTAATAAATTAGTCCTAAATTAAACAAATATTTCCTAAGAATTGTTTCAACTTCCTACCACTAGAGGGTGTTAACTGTACATAATTTAATTTTATAAATTTAAAGGAGAGGCAGAAAGAATCCCCCCCCCCCCCAAAAAAAAAAAAAAATCAAAATCAGAGAAAATAAGGATTTGCATTTTTTTTTTCAACTGCACATAAAAAATAAAAATAATATTTTTTTGGCAGAGCCTACATATCAGACTCTTAATAGTGATAATTACTTGTGAAAAGTTGTGACAAAAATAGAAAAAAAAGTAAATTAATGTTAAAATTTAGATACAGAAATGTTAAAATTTACAAAATTTCAAAGTCAAATGTGAAAATCTGTATTATTTAAAATAAATTTACAACTAATTTTAGCTTTTTAAATTCTACGGTTTGTAGTCTTATTTAATAATTTATATGATCTTTATAAAACTGTATTAAAATAAAGATGTGGCACATTTATATACTTTTAATTTATGTCCGTTATGTTTCTGTATCTATATTCCTTGCCAACTATTAATAAAAAAAAGTATAATTGAACACTACACTGGTTTTCACAGTAAAATAAATATGGTTATCTGAACATAAGTGGTGAAAAAAATGTTTATTTATTGTTAAATAAATAAAATAAATGCATGATTTTGTCATGCATTTATTATTAGTTATGTTATACATAACTAATCTTTCTCTGTATTAATTGAAACGGATGGGTAAAATTATTCTTTTTAAAATACTTTTTCTTCTCTTCTTGCATTTGTGGGACCAAGTTTGTCACAGATGGATCTAAATATCTAATCCAGCAGCAGAAAGACAAAGAAAACAGATTTAATTTTGCCCTCAGGTTTCTGTGCAGTCCTGCGATTGTCTCAATGCGGCGTCCTGCATCACCAATGTGAACTCCCCGGTCGGAAGCGGCGAGTACATCTGCGTCTGTCCTGATGGGTTCACGGGTCGGCGGTGTGAGGTGGACGTAGACGACTGCAAGCCGAACCCCTGCAGGCTGGGCCGCTGCGTGGACCAACCCAACTCCTTTTCCTGCATCTGCCCTCCTGGAATGACGGGTAGGAGGAGCTGGGCCCGTTTGGTCCAACTAACATAGATTATTCAATCAATTATTCATTTAAGCGGATAGAAATAATGGTCAGATGCTGCAGATTTTGTATTTAAGCCTTTTATGCAAAATTGGAAATACATGAAATTTATGCAAATAAACAATTCATTTTATCAAGAGGAAATGTAACATTTTATTGCCTAAAATGCAATAATATAGCGTTCCTTTAGTGAACACTTCATTTGTAGAAAACAGAGTCGGCCCAAAGCATGTGCGAGTTAAGCTGTTGGTTAGGGTCTCCATGCCACCAGGGGGCCCCCAAGAGCAACAAGCTAAAATGTTTTGTTCTTCTTTGTCTTGTATGCAAAATGTACATTTTTTTACCACTCTGAGTATTTTGCTCTTTAAGCTAATGGCCATTTTTTGAGTCAGTGAATACTCAGTTACTAAATTAGTTGACGATTATTTCAATAGTTGATTCCTCATGATTAATCGTTTCATCGCTAGCTCAAATTAAGAAGTGATGAAAGGAAGAACTGCTCTCTTTATTCATACTTCTTTGTTTGTATAGTATTAGAAAATATTAAAACATTATTAAATACATCTAAAATGGTTGAAATCGTTAAAAAAATCAAACATTTGCATTTCTCACAGTAAACCTGTTAATTTTTTAATAATAAAAACATTAAAAACATGAAAACAACACACTTAGAAAAAACAAACATCTCTATCTGGTAGGTCAGTTTACTGTCCAGGTTTCATACAAAACTTTAGCATTAGACACAAGTAACTCATTGACTTTTATTTTAATTTACAGAAAAACATATTTTTATCTTACATCAGCTAGAAACTTATTAAAACAAATGTGAAACACATTGAGCTACTTGAAATAAAAATAATTTAAAGAAAGTGTTTACTACTAGTGAAAGAGGTCTTGGTTTTAGGATATTGATAAGTGAATAGCATGCATGTATGGTTGGTGGTTTTGAACGTTATGAGTTTCTGTAACGTTTCATTCATTGTCAGGACGAACATGCAGGGAAGATGTAGACGAGTGTCTGTCCCAGCCGTGCTTCGCTGCAGTGAGCTGCAGCAACACTCTGGGCTCCTTCGTCTGTGGATCCTGTCCACCAGGATTCACAGGTGATGGGAAAACCTGCCAAGGTACGCACAATGTTAAGGTTTCCCTAGCTGAACGTGACCCGTATTTAGCTTATTGTTCTGAACATTGTGCCCTTACACCAGTGGTGGAGAAAGTACTCAAAAAATGTACTTAAGTAAAAGTACAAATACACAGACAAAAATG